ATCCAATCTCGATGACATGCCCCATCGATAAACAGAGCTTAAGTGTTTTCACGTGTAGGTCGGACTTGAAATCGCGCGTGTTGCGTTGTTTGAAGGGCGATTAACTCTTGTTTAGTCTCGAATTTGTTTCTCAATTCGCTACACAACGGGCCCGTACTTAATAAAAGAGGCCTTCGGATCGCACATATACAAATTCTTCAATTTTACCGGCTGATTCCAAATGGCCTCGGTTTATAAAGAGCGAGGCAATGAGTTGTTCTGACAAGAAAGGCTAGAAGAGGCCGTGAGAGAATATCGGATAGGCTTGGAACGAGCCGACGCAGATGTCTTTCTGAAGAGCGTTTTGTTGATGAATATCGTTCTCGTCGGGATAAGATCAGAGGGGTCTATCAACTGTGACAGCGAAGCGAGTCTTCTCGAAGACGGGCTCCTTTCCCGCACCCATGATTTTCCACGAGGTACACTCCACAAAGCCTATTATCGTTGCAGCAAATATATTCTAGGTAGAACTGGAGACATTGAAAGGTCATACCGCTATCTTCTGGAATGCGAGTCGTCGGGTGGAGATGGACCCGAGGTCAAACACCTACTCCGAATGTTGGATAATGGGAGTGTGAACGCTTTGCGGAAATACCCATTTATTAAGGCGAGCTGGAGGTCGGATGAAGGCACTTTGATCGATGTATCGGATAGAGATACCATTTCTTGGAATTTTGGAGATGATTGCCCCGGTTGCAGCAAACAATCGTCTAAGCAAGGGATAACTAGTGTGCTGTTTTCTTGCGGGCACTGGTGTCACTCGCTTTGTGCCCTAGTCTGGTTTCGCAAGAACAAGAACACTTGTCTCACCTGCCGCACGCAGCTCTTCCTACCAGATGCTTTCGTCTGTTAGTTTTTGATGGTTGCGATGGGGAGATGCCTGTTTCCAACAGGCATTTGGTATCCAACGACCTCTTATCCCATGGGGGGAATTTTTATGAAGTTCATTACATTTCAGTCAGCATTTTTTTATAAGGCGTGTGGTTTCCCCAAGGGGGTTTAGTACATTTATGGTTTCAACGTATTTCACAAGCGAGCCGCCCAGCCCAAAACACCATAGTAAATGCGATATATTCTCCATTTATATCTCAACAACCAACTTATGATTGTATCTCCTTATTTGTCGATAGTCATTGATAAGACTTATTAGCACTATGTATCAATATTAAAGGCAGTAGGATGCTATAATATCATCATTTCAAAAATTACCGAAAATTACGTTGCTAAAAACTAGCAATATATATATCGCAATTATAAAATTATAAAATTATAAACTTTCTTTAAATTCTATTAAGAGGCTAGGTATCGCCTAGAAAGCAGGAAGCTATAAGGAGGAGTCCCTATAGACCAATGTTGTTGAGATATCAAGTTGTAATCTATCGCATTTACTATGGCGTTTTGGGGTGGGCGGCTCGCTTGTGTAATACGTTATTTAATCGTAGTGATTAAGGCATAATTGACACGGACCGCGGGGCCCATCGCTGACTCATACGTCAGAGGCTCACGTGACCCATATCAGATGTAGATTGGGCCGATAAAAAGGTACAAAGGCCCCACTTGGAATCACCAATGGAGCCCCAACCCGGAGTCCAAATTCGGCTCTTGCGATCCACGGCTCGGGTAGCCCCTATCTATGTGGTAAGTTACTGCCCCATGTCTCAATATACTCAAACTGTATTCAATTCGGATTTGTCCCCCTCGGAAGGAGGTGGTATCCGCCGTAGACGCATGGGCCGGCCATCCATAGACATGAGAGTCGGGCCAGCCACAGCCTTAATCATTACGATAACCTACAATAGGAGGCAGTGTCCACTTCGGCTACCTCACCAACTATATCTCATACTTGATTCGACTACTACATAAGGTCTACCTGGGTGAAGGAGTTGAGGCTTAGCTACGATATATTTAACCTCTAATAATCTCTGAAAGTTTGAAGTCCATCAGGCACAAGGGGCGACGTCAACCCAAGAATCAGTCTACTGCGCCCCACCCCGTGTATGATCCATACTGGACGCTAATTTTCGGTCGTCTATTCCTGACGCTGTAGCTGGGTCGGGGGTTTATTTGGTGAAACTCTTTGGATATGAGTTAAATAGAACATTACAAAATTTCATCAAAATCGAGCCCATATTACGTGGCACACTCAGATATATTTAAAATCCCAACTCAGGGGTGTGGGGCTTCTTCTTGAACCAACCAAATCTACCAAATACGTGTAAAGAATGTATTGTAAAGCCAACTCAGCCTCAATGGGCCGCCTCCTATGGGATAGGGAATCCCACTTGAGCAGGGTTGCATCATTTCTCGTCTTGGGCACTTCACTGGCTCTCAATCCGCACCTAAGCAGTTTCAGATTCACTTCGACGAGCTAAAACTAGGTGATAACTATATATTGGCTCTGTTTGAGGGCGTCAATATCTAAGAAATAAAATTCGTATTGGATTGTGTTGATTCTTTGTACCAAATAGATGTCATGATAATTAATCCAGACATGAGGGTAATGGCGAGGGCTCAGGATGCCGTCTGTATTGATTGGGACTGGTTTACATTTGGAAACCTGCCTGAATACGGAGGAAACCAACATTAATCCTCGAAACATGACCTGATTCTATAACCAAGGTTCTCGCCCCAAAAAAGAACACTCTAAAGCTGGATTTGACCACGGTGCTCTAGAAAGGGAGCCTCGACCCCTCACGGCGCCGTATTGCTGGAGACAACAACAGAGCAACCGAGTCTCCGTCACGTTCCTTGGAAGACTGGTACCAATAGTCCATTTGACCAAGTTGCAGCCTCGAGCAAATGATGGATTGGCTCGAACCAGAAGGTTAATAATGTCAAAGTCAGGCGCACGTGTGTGAATGGCCGGTTTCAATAGTTGATCCGAGAACCGACTTTGTTGTAAGATATTTGGCGTTATCGGTCGGAAATTTTCTCTGATATCCAGCAGGTAGAGAAGGGCTGTACGGTTACCCTGTGCTATGGCATTCTTAATACCTTGCAAGGAAGCCATTCCGGAAAACACTGGAGCAAGGGTCTGCTGTCGCATGGCGGAGTAGGAGAGGTCATGCCGGGCAAACCTTTTCCCAAACGCCCGGCGTAGGGCAACGAGAAGGTCAACTTTTTCATCGGACCATAAGCCATGTAATGCCTTTTTTGGAAGCAGAAACAGACGGATAGGTCGGATGATGTGACGTCGCCCATGCTCTGGCGCAATATATTCAGCCTCAATGGCAAAATGATCCATGACCTGAAGTCGCTTTGGATAGCCATCGTTTGTACATATCTGCTGTGCTCGTAAAGTCTCAATCGCAGAAGCCCCGCTCCATTCTCGCCGCTGCACTTCTTTAGAGGGAAATCGGAGATGTTCTTGCCACATGATAGCATCCAGTGTCAGTGCTAGCAACGTCGGTAAAACCCGTTTCAACCGATGAATGTTGAACCAGCGACATGCCATCACTTTTTGCTGTAGTACCCTCTGATCTGAGACCAGTAAAGGGCGATAGGCGGCCAATCGTAGTTCCGACTGAAACCACGGACAATCTTGATAGTCTCGTTTGATACACCTCATATCGCAATAAATGGATTCACTGTCAGAGGGCCGCAGCCGGAAGCAATCCTGTGGGTCATGCGGAAGCAATCCTGTGGGTCATTCGAAAGCGCTTGAACCATGAAAATATCATAGACCGCCTCTCATGAGACAACTGCCGCGATCACATTGGAAGCACGTGCGAGATTGACCTCAAAAGCATCAAGGAAAATCGTCCCAATAATCTCGCACGGGAGAGACTCCAGGGTGGAGAGTGGCATTCTGGTGGGCAACACTCGGGAGCCACAGGCGACATCAAAGGTTTCAGTTGCTATATAAGCGGGCACACGGGTTACTTATATCAAGCAGAGGCCAAGTTGGCCCTGATAGGCCGATACGAAAATTGGTGCACCTCACTCAAAGCTGCCATGCAATGATAGAATGCCGTGGTAGGAATTGCTTTGAAGCACTTGCATGTCCCTCGCTATCCTTTGTTCTTCCGACCTAGAACTACTAAATACGCGAAAGGAAGTCCACGTATCCGGTTCCAATAGCGTAAGTCTCAGGAAGCCCAGGGACGTACTACGACATGATGGTCTGGCGGTCGAAAACTGACCACGGAATTCTTGGTCTAACAGGAACTCAATAGGTACGAATAGTACGAAGGCTCCTCCCGTAACTCGAAGAGCTTCTGAAGACCTAAATGATCGCAGTTGTGACTAGATATATCCTATTACCTCAACGCCTAATATGTCAGCAGGTTCGAGCCTTTAAACAGGTCGATTTCCCCGATCGACCGAAATCATTATATTAGCCAAACTACCTAGATCACAGTAATTTTGGCAATGATTTACCGACTTGATACGCTTCAGACGCACCGCTTGAGCCTACATTGTGTCACGAATTCCGCCGAATCTTATCGCCCGAAGGGCCCAATGCTTTAAGGACTGCCGTAACGAGGCATTCATTTCATGCTATTTACTCTATTATTATTTCACAACAATAGATCTCATGAACAGCGTCGTCATGTGGAAAGCCATTTAGCTTTGCCATTAATTTTGGTCTTGTTGCTCACCGGTATCTCAAGGTTACCCTTGACGAGCACTCCTTTGGCCATTGTGATCTTATATGTTGGTTGCTTCGACCTGGTTCATCTATGGAATCAAAGAATTAAATACCATTCCTGGAGAGGTTCGAAATTCGCGAATTTTGTCGAATCAATCGGCCATAGATTCGAAGCCCCCAACCCAAAGTTCGAATTCGATTCGATTCGAGGAAATTCGCGAACTTCGAACAGTTCGAAAATTCGTGCGGAGCGGTACCCACTCACCGCTAGTTTTCAAGTCTGCTGTGTAGCTGTGGCGAAACAGACTAGCAGTCGATCCTTTTTTGGCGGTCCACCCTTTCGACGCCAGGTGTTCTCTAGTTCTGTGACCTAGAAATGCTCGAGGGTCCAGCTAGAGTATGATCTGGCTTTTCGTTTCTTGCTCGGCAGCGGGCTACTCTGGCTGCTGGAAAATCCCAATAGCGCGGGGCCTAGCGGAGTGGGCGGAGAGTTGGGAACATTCAAGGAGCGCTCGGATTGAGAAGTCTCTTCGGTGACTCTAGCCTCGGAGAGTGCTGGGGAGCAGACGATCTCTATCGCACGAATGCCCGCTTCCAATGACTCAGGGAGTAGGGTAGCCATGCCATTGTTCAAAGCATTGTAGTCACGACGCAGAAGACCACGCGTCTTTCGCAAAATGGGTTAGGTGACGATGACATTCTGCATTTATCCAGTGGCAGTATTTGAAGTCATGGCTGGAATGACGCACGGCACAGTGGCACACCTTGAGTATCACTCCGCAATCCTTGATATTCTCGCAGGCCGGGAATTATTACTTCTTGAGATTGAAACCAACACGGGGCAAGTCAACTATGTTGTCACACGGGTATCATCTGGCGCAAGCCCATCGAAGTGGGACGACTTAGTTTGAACTCTATCTGTCTACCCCACTCACTGCTTTCGTGGTAAACAATCTGTGACCTGGGCTGAAAGTGACTTAAAGTTGCATGATAAACGCGTTTCTACGTGTCAATGGTCAAAGTCATGTCAAATCCGAAATTTGAAGCAGATCGTACGAGCATAGAAGAAGTTATGGTCGTCGTTTTAGCTGGAACAGCTTATAGATAAAAAGACGGTATGTAGATATATATAATTTTGCTCAACCTTCTGCCAACAATCTTTTTATCACCAAACCTAGACGCACGCCTATGAAAGATCTCTGAAAGAAATCACATCGGAGAATTAGATCTTGCTGAGCCCTATAACACAATGTATACAGTGTTAGCAACAAATTTTGTATAATCAAAATTAGATTTTTCTGCGTGACCGACAGAGACCATTGATGAAATCCCGTTCAAAATTCAAGTGAACATGTATTTCGGTAATACGAAAACCGGTGTTACGGGAAAACTATTAATGCGTGCAAAAGAATATGAATGCGAATATGAATATGAATATGACCTATATTCGCATTCCTTTATTCCTTTCGGAGCCCTAAGCTGGATAATCTTTCGAGAGATCCTCACAACAAAACCGTAAGGGGGGCATGTAAGAGAAGTAGTCAATGCGTCATAACATCACTGTGACAGAATATTCTAGTCAGTACTGTACTACGAAAAGGTAACGTCTCAGACGGCTCATGTAACTTTCCGAATACCAAGTTGACTGTGTTGAGTAATTTTCCTCTCTCACCGCCCCCATAGCGATTCCCCTGAACCGAACCAACGTTCTTCACACATGGTCTCTACCAGCTTATAACGGTAGACACTGCCTTCCATCATGACCCAATGCGCTGCTTGTCAAGGACAAGCAAACTCATGCTGTTCGAAGTGCCAAGTCAAAAGATACTGCTCTTCAGCTTGCCAGAGGGCGGATTGGAAATCTCATAAGATGCAATGCATCCCACACCATCTTAAAGGCGATGGTCAGATCGTTTTGATTCATGGCATATTTGCAAACGGATCTCAGGGTACCACTTTTGGAAACCACCTTTTCAAAGACATATCACCTGCTGTCAAACCTTCGATTCAGATCAGCTGTGAGCCTAAAGGACAATACTATTTCTACTCTCGGTATCCGGCTGAGAAAGAAATGACGATCGGATTCTTGAACTGGATTAATTTTCGCGACCGTGACGTCCGCCGGAACCTTCGAGTGGAGAATATTGTCATCGAAAACTCAAGCGAAGCATCCGAGGCCACGAATGATATAATTCAAAGTATGATGACGCCATCACACCTGAAGGTCTACAAAGGGAGAGAGGAAGTCAAGAATACTTTTGAAGTCGAACCAATCGAACGTCTCCTGCAATTTTCTAAGATGCTTGTCGACAAGGGTCACGCCAATATGGAAAGTGGCGATGCAAAGGCAGCCAAAAACGCTTACCACGCCGCTTTATACTCACTATCTGAGTGGGAAGCTCAACGTGGTTCCAATACTTCTGGATGGGCGAATATAAGTTTTGAAACTTTGGCTTCCTTGTGCGAAATTCATGCTCATCTAAAGCAAGCTCAAGAAGCCCTCGAAACTGCGGAGCAGGCGCTTCGTCTCGATATCGCATTTACTGATCACCCGGAGAATAGATGGCCTAGCCTTTTGAAATGTGCAAACAGTTTCCATCAGTTTGGTGACCACCGACGAGCATTTCTAGTGGCCATGAGAGCACGACAACTTCAGCCAGAAAACACAGCGGCAATTGATCTTGTTCAGAGTTTGTTACCATCAGTCACATCTTCAGAAAGGTCTTTTACAAAGTTAGTTCTGGATACTGTGGGGAGAGTGAAAATTGAATTACCTCTCGCAACCAAATTCAATCAGGACGAGAGTTGCGTTATTTGTCTGCAACACCTGAGCGGCGAGGTCACACAACTCCCTAACTGCAAGCATTACTTTCATCGGCTTTGTGTCTGGACGTGGCTGTCTCGCCAACGAAGTTGCCCACTGTGTCGCGTTGGCTTCCAGTAGCATTGTCGTGGTTGGTGGCGTGTGGGTCCAACGCTGTTGTATCTCAATTATGATTTTGAAACAGGCATCTGCTTATATATCTATCCCATGGGGGGGATTTCAGTCCGGCGCACTGCAATATAGTCAGCATTTTTTATACATATAGGCTTTATACTCTAATAGTCCCGTGGCGTACCCACACCGCAGTGCCCAACGCAAAACCAAAGCCCAAAGTAAATCTTGGCATCGTACCCACTAGGAATATCATTTGAACAGCTAACTGCCGTAGCAGCGGGAGGAGTCCCATAGCCGCGCGGTACGAGACCGTGGTGATGGGAGATGGGCACTCGTCGAACAAGACCCGGTTATGTTCATTCGCCACGTGGAGGCGATGTAGAAAATCCCGGGGTTTCAGCCTCCGCGCATCGACGCTACATCTCGGCCTTTAGGACCACGAGCGGTAAGATTAAGACTGTTGTTTCGGCCCCAGGCAGCTGGTAGGGGAGCAGGTAGAGCAGACTCTTCATTGTGTGGAGCGTTGGCGTGTGGAGATATATATGTGGATTCTTCCCGGGGAATCGCATCGGATAATATCACGGCGAAATAATGCATGGCTTGCCGCTGAGAGAATAGAGTCTGGAAATAGCCTTGGTACCAGGCATCGCTCCCTGTCGAGACATCTGCCATTGGTGCTGCTGATTATAGTGCTGTCGCATACAATCAGTGTTGGTTGTGCGGTAGCGGCACTGGTCGAAATGGCAGAGATGGCCAGGTACGGTCGGCAACCCGTGAATTTCAGCAATTCCGTCAGAAGGTTGCACCACACCGTTCGTGGTCAAGGCCAAATTTTGCGAAGTGGTCCTGATCGTAGAAACCTTGAGTTCCAGCGCGTTCGAACATCCTGGATTGGAACAAGTCTTGGCTCTTCAGTCTGGAGATTGTGAAATGACTCCCGCCGCCGTGGACGAGCATTGATATATCTCGCAAGGTTTCGGACCTAGAGAAAAGCAAGAGTGTTAGAAAATAGAAGAACTAGAGTCAGGAATATATACCTTGTTTAGTGTATCGATAATCTCTCGTTTTTGTTACCTTGCGCGAAGAGAACGGACACGATCCTCTGACCAGTTTATCTCTATATTCTCATTCTTCGAAATTGCCTTTATCTTCTCAAGAAGATCATTCAGAATCACATGGGCAATACAGGGAACTCACACAATTGTTGAACTGTTATTTAGTTCGGACTGTAATGATTCTTGGATACTCGACATCATAGTCTTGTTGTTTGACGCATTATCAGTTGTCACTGCAAGCACTCGATCTGAGATTTCATGCTGCTGAAAGATCTTTAATACCACCTCACTTAGGTTCACACCTGTATGTGAACCAGATAAAGGTTCGAATCCAAGAAGGATCTCTCTGTATTCCCAGTGCTGATCAAGAAAGTAGCCAGTGACTGCCATAAAGGCCTGTCCAAATGGAGATGTCCAGCAATCCAATGCAAGCGAAAGCTTTACACTAGGTGGAAGCTGCTTTAGTATAGACTGTTGCTGCTCTTGGACATACCCCCGCAGGCGAGACCGCATTGTTTTCGCAGAACGGAATCTGGGGTTGTATTGGGGCAAGTCTAGCATATGCGATAACGTCACGAAATTCGTTATGCTCGATAAACCGGAAGGGGAGGCGTGAAAGGGAAAGCAGTTTCAATAGTTTGTGTTCCCATACTTCTTGCGTACAGGCTGTCGGGGTAGCTGACGCGGTTTGTGTCTTTAAATAAAGAGAATAAGTGGAAACCCCTAAAACAAAACCCCGAAATCCTAGTTTAAACATACCGCATTTTCAAGTAAACCCTTGATATTGGACTTTTGGCTAGTAAATTTACGGCAAGTTGATCCAGCTAAATGCCGATGAAGTGCAGTCGTTCCATATCGTCCATTCGCTGGATATTCTAGGACTTTATGACATTGACGGCATTTCGCACCGGGTTTTCCAGTCTTTGCATTAGCAACTTGATCGAAGTGCTGCCAGCAAGCTGCTGTACGGTTGCCACTCCAATGAAGCCGTTTCTTGCGCCCAAACTCAGTATCCAACCACCAAGCGACAAATTCATCCTTTGACATATCGGATTGTAGAACGAATTCGATAGATCGACCAGGACCAACACGCTCGAGTGAGGGAGGAACCGAAGGGGGGGCAATTGGCGTAAGAAACCCGGAACTGGATACTGATCTACTTATTTGCTGGCTTCCTAAGATATCAGGAGTATGGAATTGGTTGTTCGGAAAGGAGAGACCGTCAATCGTATCCCCTTCATAAAGAGATGATGGGTAGGCATCCGAATATAGAGATAACTGGGACATTAATACTGAATGATCTTTCGTACTGTGTGGAACTAGAAGATAGGTAGGGCTTAGATGGTTGGATGAGACCTACTTTGCACTAAAGAATCTACCTATGTTAACAAACGAATTCAATGTTCTTTTCAAACTAGGCCTGCTTCCTCGATCAATATAATGTATCACATTATGACCCATTTATTATAGGGACCCTCTCCTAAATGGTATAATTCCGAGGGCTGGTTAAGGGCGGCCCTCGAATCAGCCCTCGAATTATGCGGGCCGCCCTCAATAAACCCGCAATACACCCTCAACATATGCAAGCCGCCCTCAAATCGTAGATCCGCCCTCGTTTTTTCGGTGAGTCCAATACCCCCCCCCAAACCTAGTATGGAATCAACAAGAATTCTCTCATGTTTGAAACGTCAGCACTATACTCATCTCTCATAAAGCTCTTTTATTGTATAAATTCAAACTATAGTAGTGAGCCTACTATGTATTAGTATTGATATACTAAGTCTACTGTAGGGGAAATGCCAAGAATTGAAATGGTGGTTGTTAAGATGTAAAGTATGCATCACCTGCCTACATAAAGAATATATATTTCTCGACGCCGATACTACAGAACTGTAGATTTATATAATAATGAACCACCACAATATCTTAAGATATTACAATTCTGTACTTATACCATCACCTACTATGATTAATCAGAATACGAGTGAGTTTCTTCGAATTTCTGAGGCATGTATGAAAATATCTCGTAAACCTAATGTTGAAACGAAAACACTGTTTGATAACGGTAATCTATGAGGATGATTCAGCAGAATTATACAGCTAAATTAGGAAAGGTCGCAAAGTTTTATGTAAGTGAAGGCGGATGAGGGCTGCTCGACCCTTCTCATCACAAATAGTCACCTATTTTCGAACTCATCACAAAATCCCAGATGACCTGTCACTTTCAGGGGTGAGTCACCACACGTGTAACGAATCAAGACCGATTAGTATCCTGAAAAAAGCAATTACGAAATTTGTCCGAAGGTTGATACATTACCGCGATCCGTTATAACACATTAAGTTGTGGGCATTTCACAAGAGCTGGAGACACAGGGGTTATTAAGATAGTCGCACGTGAAATGGCCGAGTAATCTGGGAGAGGAAAGGCAAGTGCAATCTGCAAGTTAGCATTGCCGATACTTGATTATTCAGGAACCTGCCACAGCGTATTGTGCTGAATAAAGTGGACCGTGCCGAACAAAGTGAATATGTATTTTTGGCCAGGCAGCTTTGACCGGTCGTACTTTTGTCCACGGAAAGAGAAAACCGAATTTCTCGTCTTTCGAGGAGCAGAACCTTGAACCTCCCTAGGAAGAGCCAAACTTCGGTACTTGACCTGGGTGTTAGCTAGTGACAAGAAGCAAAGTGTTCCTCTAATTCGAATAGCATGTTGGGGCAGGCTCAACAACCCTCAATGGTGATGTCAGAAGCAATGCAGGTCCAGTCGCCTACGGCAGAGGCCCAAGGACACAGGCCAGAAGCAGAAGGTGGTATTGAAACCCAATTGACATGTTAAGGCAGATTCGCTGACCTGCTATTGGCACAGTGTTTAACCACTTTTATCAAAACTTTACCTTTCAATCTATCTTGAGTCGTTACGATCCGCCTGAGAATTCCGAAGCAGAGATAAGGAGAATGCGGGAGGTACTTACGCTCGCTGGGAATAATTATGACGAAAGCTTTCCAGCAAGTGAACTCGTTCCAGAGAGCTTGATCCGGAACTATGTCCCATATCTCCGGTCTCAATACACACCAGTACCAGAAGTCAGTGGCTTGTACGGTTGCTGGAAAGCTTTCGTCATAATTATTCCCAGCGAGCGTAAGTACCTCCCGCATTCTCCTTATCTCTGCTTCGGAATTCTCAGGCGGATCGTAACGACTCAAGATAGATTGAAAGGTAAAGTTTTGATAAAAGTGGTTAAACACTGTGCCAATAGCAGGTCAGCGAATCTGCCTTAACATGTCAATTGGGTTTCAATACCACCTTCTGCTTCTGGCCTGTGTCCTTGGGCCTCTGCCGTAGGCGACTGGACCTGCATTGCTTCTGAAATGGTAGATATATAATTAAGATGGTTCAGAGTTCAGATGATTATTAGATGAGTAGAGACGGCACCTGAGATATTGCTCTCGGGCTTATAGCCTGTTGTTGTTCAGAGGTCTCTCCTATAACGGAGTTCCCAGTAATTCAATTGAAAGTATAATTCAGACCTTCAGATCAGCTACATGAAACTCGTACCTGTAGAGGCCACGGGCTGTAGATAGAAACCCTTGGATTGCCTATAGTATCGAAAATTTCGCTCGATAATCCGGAGATTGGTTTACTACGCCTCGTTCTCGAAAAGCAGTTAGTGTTCAACCAACAACTTATGTATACTATGCCCAGTGTATCACGTTTGAACTGGCGAACATGACCACTCTCCCTCAATTTAATACTCTCCCTCAACTCACCTCACTCCCACAACTCACCACTCTCGTTCTTTTCAAAACTCTCGTTCAAGTTACCGTTCTCCCTCGATTATAGTACATAATCTCCACACCGGGCTTCTATTTCTCATACTCAACTGTCCGTTGGATTGTGGTTTGTCTTAGTGTTCGAGTCATATTATTGTCACTCTGGCAACATTACAATATGACACAGTCTGATAGTATGTTATTATCAGCCAAATCAGCGCTTGAGAGGGCCTGTAAGGGCGATTCCTTACAGTATCAGCAATCAACCGGTCCGCAACACGACAAGCTGACTAGATATATCCAGAGTGGTAAGTGAGTGAGCTTAATAAACCAATCTAAATACTAACCTTCTTAGCCACTATCGATGAATCTGCTCGGATATTCTGGAGAAATCATGAGAAAGAGTTCCCTATTTTTGCAAGGATTACCCGTGATATCATGTCAATTCCAGCGACCGGTGCCGAAGTTGAGCGTCTTTTTAACTCTGCCCGGGACGTTTGCCACTATCGCCGGGGGTCGGTAAACCCAGAGACTATTCGCGATATCATGCTGTATATGTGTACAACAAGATTCGATACCATGAAGTCTTGGCTTACAATTACAAGAGAATACAGCCTGTTTCTACATGATTTATGCAATTGACCTATAGTCACGTTTTTTACCTGTCTGTCATGTTTGTGGAACCTGAGGTTCACCCGCGGGTAACCTGATGAGGTTCGGTCCTTGGATGGAACCGCCCTCAGGTTCCAAATCCTGGAACCTGACCCGCCCAAATGGAATTTCAGGTTAGTTTCGTGAGGTTCGACCGCGGCTCTCAGCCAGGTCTAATGGCAGGTGTTGTAACAA